CTCTGCCTTGGGAAGATCTAGAGTGAAGCAGGCACTATACCGGGGATCTTACCCTGTGATCAATGGGGTAATCACAGAATGTTAGGGCTGGAAGGAGCCCCCTGCAGGATGTCTAGCCCAATCTCATTTTACAGGTTAGGAAACAGAAAACCAGTAGAGGCCAAGTCACTTATCTATGATCACACACTTAATAAGTTGAAAAGACAGGATTTAAACCCTGATTCCTTGACCCTAAGTCCTCTGATCTTGCCACTGATCTCCCCATACTGCTGCTAGTAAGAGGACAGGATATTAAGCCTGGATCAAAAGGTTATAGTCCTTTCATCATTTTTTTTTTGAAGGACAAGGGGGAAAGATGTCCAAACACACTCAGCTGAAATCTACAAACACTTCAGTGCCTACTATGCTTAATGTGCTGGACCAGGTGCTGGTGGACCCTGAGGGTCTTCATTTTCCATCTTTCTTCCTTTTGACCCTGCCCTCCCCCACTAGGAAATATTGGGTTCTCATTTCAACTTCAGCTTTCTGTAATTAAACCTCATCCACTTAGACTAGTCTGGGATTTGTATCTCTTAATTTAGTGATGGAACAAGAAAATATTCTATAATATTCTTATTATCATCAATAATTTCCACAATGGTTTATAATTTATGAAGCCCTTTCTTCTTAACACCCTTAGGTAGTGTAGGTATCATTGTGCCTATTTTACAGTTGAGGTTAGTCAGACCAAGAGGAATTAAATTATTTACCCACAATCACATAGCTAGTAAGTGTCTTGGCAAAGAACACACCTTGAACACACATCTTTGGCTCAAAGTATGGTGCTTTGGCTATTATCTCACATTGCTTCTCGAAGGGAAGACACATTAAGAAGACTGTGTGTGGGGGTAGCTCAGGATAGCCTAGGAAGGAGTTAGGAATATCCCTTTCTGACTAGGAACATATTTGAGTATCTAAAAGGGACTCCTTTTGCTTGCAGTAACCTGGGGAATTAGACAGACCAGCATGTCCCTGCTGATCCCCTCTGCTTCTTGCCTCTTTCCAAGGATTCTAGCCAGAGGCTGGAGCAATTGGGACCACAAGAGGGAAGGAGGACACACCAGGCAACTGGAGTGAAGTCACCATCAGGGTTAGAAGATGACTGCAAACTGTGGAGAATTCTTGGTTCCCGGGGATAAGGAGAGAATTCCCCAGGTAAGAAATAATGACAGGACTGAGGCAAGTGGACTGGAACTTCCTGTCCAGATTCCTTGGACTGGTAGAAGCATTAGAACTATTAAAATTATAGAATGTTAGAGCTAGAAGGGACCTTCAAAGTCATCTGATCCAGCCCCCTCATTTCACAGGGGAGGAAGCTGGAGGCTAGGGACATTAAGTGACATGCCCCAAGATCACAAAGGTAGTGAGTAGCAGATCCTTTGACTATCATATAGTATTATTTTTACTGTCCTACAATAAGACTGATATTTTCAGGGAGGGGGAGAGCTATAGATAGTGACAGGATAAGGAAAAAAATCTATTAAATCAACAATCAATTCCAACAAAAGCTTTTGCTTTTTATCAATGAGCTCCCAGTCAGAGAGAGGAAGCCTAGAAAAAGAGCAGATAGGTATATTTGTTTCCTTAAAGTAGGATGCTTTCTCTCTTCCATGTAGTGCTGAGAATTTGGTAAAAACAGCATTCTTCTCTCCCACCTTTTTCTCTCTGTCTCTGTACCCCACCTTAGATTATGACCTTCTAAGATCAGGGACCATGTTGGTGTTTTCTTTCTATATCCCAGGGCCTGTATTATGATCTGCATGTTGTGGCAAACTGACACATGATTAAAAATAAAGGAATGACAAGGAAGAAAGACATGACAAATCTGAACCTTAATGTCCAATAGATCCAATGGTTCTGTGCTAAAGTCCTGCTCTGATGCTTCATCACTGCTCAGAGTTGATGTTATGCTATGTCCTTGAAGGCTATGTTATTTATCTGAGTGTAAGCTCTGACAGTTTCTATAAAGTTAGAAAAAATTTTGAGTAGGCACATGGTGATGGTCTGTGTGTATTTCTTATCCAAGAATCAGCCCAGCTAAGTTCCAAGACTCATCTCTAAAAGACTGACCACTGGGTAATGATTGTTTTTTGTCTCCACTCATAAATTTGTTTTTGTTCAGTCATTTTTTATCATGTCTGACTCTTCCTGACCCCACTTGGGGTTTTCTTGGCAAAGATACTAGAGAGGTTTGCCATTTCTTTCTCCAGCTCATTTAAACATGAGGAAACTGAGGCAAACAGGGTTATGTGATTTGCCCAGGGTCACATAGCTAGTAAGCATCTAAGGCCAGGTCTGAACAATCCAACCCATTCTAATGAGATTAGAAAGATGGACTGGGGCAAGTGCTTTAAAACCTAAAGGAATTTCTATTTTATCTTAGAGGCCATAGGAAGCCAATAGAGTTGGCTGAGTATGTGAGTCACATGGTCATATTTATGCTTAATGAAAATTACTTTGGCATCATTGTGTAAGACAGAGTAGGGTGATGAGAAATTCATTAGGAGGCTGTTGCAGTAATCCAGATGTGAGGTAATAAGAGATTTTTTGGGAATATGTTTCCCATCACCTGGTCTTGTGGTGACTGACTGGAGTTTTTTCTAGGTTCCAGATGCTGTGCAAAGACAAGAAATACTTTCAGGGAAGATTGTGCCCTTGGGAGTAGCACAAAAGTCATCAGGTTTCAAGTCAGAGTCAAAAGAGGAAGGGATGCAGAGCCCATTACTGAGACAAGAGATACTGAATTGCCATGCTAAGGAGCAACCCCAGTTCATGCCAGACAGAGGTAAAACACAGAACCAAAGGGAGAGGAATTGGGGATAGATTATGGACAGGTCAGAGGGCCTTGGCACAGACAGAAGAAAGGTGAGTGGGATGGGTGGGGTGGGGTTGGGGAAGATGAGCTGGGATTCTAGAGGTGCGACTCCTTACCTGCTGCATATAGGAAGTCCTTACATAGAATCAGATACCTAATGATTGTTTCTAAAGCTTAAATAAACAGTAGGCAATCCTCTTATGTTTGGAATGAGAACTGATAGATCCTACTCCTACTTATGGTGAGTAAGGAAGCAGTAAGACAGGGCTGGTCTCCCTAAGAACTCCTTTCTTCTCCCTCAGCTCTTCCCATTCCACAGATTCCTATTTTTCCCCCAAGGGGGAGCACTAGAGATCAGGAAATGGCAGCTGCACTTCTTACTGCTTGGTCCCAGGTGAGCATATTTGTTGTCTCTCTGTCTTTGTCTTCCTCCCTACATCCTTCTTTCTTCATCTTGTCGAGCTGCAGAGGCCAGTGGCCCACTCTAGCTCCTGATGCTCACACAGACGTGCTGGCACAGTCACCTCCTGAACTCCTTCTGCAGGGTCCCTAGGTCCATACTCAGGTAATTGCTCTAGCTGGGCCAGAAGCCAAGGGATCTGAAGAGAGAGCTCTGATGTCAGCTTCTGTTCGGCCCTAGGTTCAGGGAGGCTCCAGAGCCAGAGAGGTTCTCTGTCTGGGACCAGATCCCCTGAGGAGGAATCAGAATTAAAAAGCATTTTTTAGAATTTCCAGTCAGTATGAGAACCTGGAACTGGACTTTTCTTTTCTTTTCTTTTTTTTTTTGACTAGGCAGTGGGGTTAAGTGACTTGCCCAGGGTCACATAGCCAGTAAGTGTTATGTGTCTGAGGCCAGATTTGAACTCAGGTCTTCTGAATCCAGGGCCGGTGCTCTATCCACTACGCCACCTAGCTGCCCCTGAAAGTGGACTTTCTACCATGAGTGTTAGGATCTTGAGAGGAATATAGTCTTACCTGCCATCTTTTAGGGACAGATTGAAAGGAGTACAATTCTCTCTGCCTCTCTTCTTCTCCCTTACACACGTCATTTGCCCTTGACATGTCTAGTCACTGATATTGTCATTTCCAATCTAAAATACAATACAAATGTTGAGGCTTGCATAGTAGTAATGGATTATCAGTAGTACATTCTCCCAGGACTGGAAAGGTCTTCAGAGGTCATCTTGAGGTAGGAATATATCTGTCCAGGCTCAGTCAGATATGTGGCTTAACAGGGAACCTTGGTGCTCAGGAAAGGCTTAGTTCAACTCAAATAAGGGAAATGTTGAGGTTCAAGATGATACGAGTGTGGGAGCCCAAAGCAGATGGGTAGACGGGGGCAACAAGGGTCGATACAAGCAGAATAGTTGCTATGCCTTGTGCTTGATGGTCTTTGGGCCATAGGAGGAAGAAGAAGGGAGTTCAATATTAGCCTACCTGGGCACTCCCAACTTCAGCTTTTTAGGCCCTTCTAACTGATAAGGGAGAAGGCTGGATTTTGCTCCATTAGAGCAGCATGATGGCCTGCCCACACAGGAGCTGGCAACTTGTACCTTTGTAAGATCCAAGCAATGGACTAACATGGTACCCATACTGAAACAGCACATTCAGTAGGGAAACCCAGGGGACCCCAACTATTGGAGCAGTCTTGCAATAGGCCAGTATTAGGATTTATACAGATGGATGGAATCTTGATCAGGAAAAGCTGATGTTTTCAATTCTGAAATCACAGATAGAACCAAATATTAAGGTGCTTTGGGGGCATGGAAGTTGTTAACACAGAAAACTCTAGGCATAGAAAAGAGGTGGGGCACCAAGTGGGAGGAGAGCACAGATCTAAAGACCTGAAAAAGCAAAGGGTTTTGTTTTTTTAAACAACCACACCAGGGAAGCTTATATGTTCTTGACTTGCCCTTACTGGAGATGAAACATAATTGGTTGCTACTTTCTCTCTGATATAATTGGTAGTGTTTTAAAGTCATCCCTTAGCCTCCTCTTCCTTAGGTTAACCTAGTTATCATTTGTGCTCCAGCTCTGCTTTCTGGATCTTTCAAGTCACTTTTGTTGTAGAATTATAAACTTCTTCTCCATAGGTCCCTGATTTTTGCTTGTGGAGAGTAAGAGCTGCATTGTCATATTTTTCCAGATGCCAGTGACTTTTGAGGACGTGGCCATATACCTTTCAAGGGAGGAGTGGAGGCAGCTGGACCCTGCTCAGAGGGACCTCTACACAGATATCGTGCAGGAGAAAAATGGCCTGGCCTTAGGTGAGGATCCAATTGCTTATGGTTTCTATGCTGGGAGTGGCCTCTAAAGTACCCTGTGATTCTGAAGTTTGGGGAGTTTAAACTCTAATACATATAACTCATGACTTTGCCACTCCATCCCTCTCCTTCCACTGACATGTCCTTCTACTGAAACATATTTTATACCCTGAGTCTGGGACTACCTACTGATCCCCATTTGGGAGGTCTCTTATTCCTTGGGTTTTTCCTTCATACTTACTCTGTCCCTGAATTCTTCTTACAAATGTCAAAGAGAGAACCAGAAACCTGGTAGCTTCCAAGGTAGTCACTTTTGGACAGCTCTAATTTCTAGGACATTTTCCTTACATCAAAGCTAAATCTGCCACTTTACGCTTTCCACCTTTAGCTCCTAGTTCTGTCTCCTAATAATAACAGGTCACATGTTCTGTAGTTTCACAATTTGTGAAATTCTTTCCTCACAACAATCCTGTGAAGTGTGGACTGCAATTTATACCCCTATTTTACAGGTGAGAGGCCCAAAGAGGTTGAGTGAATTGTTCAAAGCCATATTGCTTGACGAGTAGTAGGGACAAGACTTGAACCCAGGTCTTCTGGCTTTAAGCTTAGAACTCTTTCAACTTCCCACATTTGAAAGAACGAGACACCTAGTCAGAATGCAAGCAGTGGTGTCCCATAATGGTGAAGAGCACAAAGCAAACTCCAAGGAATCCCTGACCAGTCTTTCCTAGGAGGAGAGAGGCAGGCTACCATTTGCAGATTTAAATTCTTATATCTTTGCAACTTCATGCCCTGTACCTCAAACTCTCCAGCTCTTTTGAGCAATTCAATTCAATCATATATATATATTCATTAAGTGCCTTCTATGTACAGTGTTCTGGGGCCTGGAATTCCAAAAGAAAATCACAGTTTTCAAACAATTTATAACATACAGGGTCATCTGTATTTTCTAAAATTTTGTTATAGCTGTTGTATATAAACCCCAGAGTTTAGTTAGTACAGATGGCTATAACAAAATTTAGAAAATAATGAGGTGAATAGGAGCATATATTGAGAACTGCACAGTTGTAGAGAGGAATCACTTCTAGTTGGGAGAATCAGTGAGGGTATAATGAAAGAGTTAGCTTCTGAGCTAGGCCTATATAAATAGGCAGAGATTCAATTCAACGGATGATTTTAAAGTACCTAAAGGCTGCAGAGCACTGTGTTAAATGATGAAGCAGAAGCATAGTTAAGGTAAATGGCTGGTTCCTACCTTTACTGCAATGTCATCGACCTTGTCTTCTAGCAGGGAAAATGACACGTAAGTAATTGTAATAAAAAACACTACCTGCTAAGTGCATAACAGAGGAACAGCTAGTTAGTTAGTGGTTATCACAGAAGACCAGAATGGCATCGCTGTGTTGGGATCAAGGTAGAGTGAATCGACTATGGCTAATCAGACCAATGGGAGCTTGGAAGGTTCTACCACAGGTTGGGAACAAATAGTCCATATGAACATTTGGAGTGGAGATGTCTCCAAACTGGTGCATCTCATATTTCTTTCGAGCTACTACAATTCTGCTTTGCTCACAGAACATAGCACCTTCTTTAATGCAGGCACACCATGCCAGGTGATCCTGTGCCGGCGTCTCCCATGTCTCACAATAGATTCCAAAGTTCTTCAAAGAGACTTTGAGAGTGTCCTTGTATCGCTTCTTCTGACCTCCACATGAGTGCTTGTCTTGTGTGAGTTTTCCGTAAAAATCAGAGGAACAGGTAAAGTGTTATTGGAAGTCTGAGGGAACAAAGGTCCTTTCCAAATGAGTGATCAGGGAAAGTATTTCTGGAGGATTTGACAGTTGAGTTAGGCCTTAAAGGATGGGGAGGAATTTAGCTGGGAAATTTATGAGGAACAGTTTAGACAGAAGAGGAGTATAGGCAGAGGGAATAGTATAATTAAGCCATCTGGGCTTTCTCTAGCCATCCTCCTCCCCCCTCCTCCCTCCTGCAGAAATATCTCTTGGTTGACTGCCTTATATGTCGGACTAAGTGTGTCTGTGTGTTTTGATTCTAACCCACATGAGCAAGGGGACCTTCAGGGCAGATGTTGATGTTGAATGTTTCCAGTAGCTGTTTGGGGGTTATAGAAATAGAGAGCCTCTGCCCTATGAGTGCTTGGCCTGGTATCTGGGGTACCATGCCACCACTGGTATTTTTTTGCTTGTCCAAACCAACAGAAGACAATGTAGTTTCAGAAATAATTATTAAGAGTCTACTATCTACATTCTCAATTCTCAGGTCCAGGAGGATAGCTGGCAGCAAATAGGGACAGGGGGTTTTGAAATGTTTTTCAACGACGGTGACTTTGAATTCCCAGCTTTCTTGGCTCTTCACACACCCTGACATCCTACAGGCAGAGTGTGGCACATCAGTTCTGAATACCACATTTTAGGAAAGTATACTGACAAGCTGGAGTATGTCCAGAGGCAGGCAACTGGGATGATGAGGGGACTAAATAACATATAACTTGAAAATTAGTTAAGGAACTTGGGGAACATGAAGAAGACAATGAGAAGATATGATAGCTATCTTCAAAAATCTGAAAGGTATTAATATATGAAAGAGGGATTAGCCCAGAAGACATATCTAGGAGTAAAAGCTACCGTAAGGTTGATTTCTGCTCAGGGTGAGAATAACAGCCTATAAAAGCTGTCCTCTAGTCAAATGGGTTGCCTTAGGTGAGGCAAGATCCCCATCTTTTTCAAGTAGAGATCCATGGAGGGTGTTAAAGGTAGCCAGGATTAGGTGACTTCTAAAGTCCTGTCCAACTCTATAGTTACAATTCTTAAAATGGTCCATGACCTCTAAAATACTCCCTTTGCAGTGGTGATGTTTGGTGCTGGGTATATTCAACCTTGGTTATAATGATGTCTTTCTGTGGTTTCCCTTCAGCAGAGCTTCCCTGGCACCTCACTTAGAGGGGAAGGGGGCGTCACCTACCTCTTGTCACCAAGGAGTAGAGGAGAGGCAAATATATGGGTAAGGGGTGGGACAAGAGAACCGCCAGTTAGGCTGGAATTTTATGATCCTAGAATAAGTAGCCAGATTGTAGACAGAGTTCTGGACCTGGAGTCAGGAAGACCTGAGTTTAAATCCTGCTTCAGCTGAACTTTATTTAACTTCTTTCCACCTCAGTTTCCTCAATTGTAAAACGGGGATAATAATAGCACCTACCTCCAAGATTTGTTGGGAGGATCACATGAGATTATATTTGTAAAGTGCTTAGCACAGTGTCTGGCACTAGTAGGTGTTTAGTAAATGCTTATTCCCTTTCCCTTATTCTCTAAGTCAACATAGCTCCTCCCATTCATTATAGAAAGAGATAAAGAATACTGGAACCAATACTCCCAAATTTCATTTGTTTTGTGCAGGCCTTTTTTTGTTTTCATTTCCTGCCGCATTCCCTGAGGGTTTAGTTGTGTTGGAGCCTTTCTACAGAATTTGGTTACGATTCTCTGAAGTATCTCTTACATTTTTCTCTTTCCCCTGTATGACTCCAGACAACTCACTTTCCCTATCTGGGCTTTTATCAAATGAAGTTGAACTAGATACCTTTCAAAGCTCTTTTCTCCCTTTCAGATCCTTCCTCACCTTAGAACAGAAGTGTCTGCCCTTTAGGACTTAGTGTATTCCCCCATTTTGCTTTCTAAAATCTTTGTCTGATTCTCTCTTTATCCAGAAGCTGTAAAGATTGGAAAAGTAGGGTTTATTCCACTGGAAGCTGCTGGTGATGCAAAGATGCTTGGGACTGGATTGGGAAGAGCCCATGGGGATGTCCCACAAGCCATGGAGCAAGAAGGCAGCAGGGAGAGCTCAAGGGAAAGTCAGCAGCTTAGCCTCCTGGAGAGGAGCCAGAAGAAAGTAGTCCTACCTGAAAAAGACCTGAAAAAAACCCTGGACCTTCTTGTTCTGAAGAAACCCTGCATCCCTGAGAAATACTACCAAGACAGCAGTGGGGAAGGCCCAACCCCAGGAGGGGACAAACCCGGACCAGAACCAGAGCTCCTGGCCCCCCAGCTTACCCTTCCCACCAAAAAACCTTACACATGTGAAGAATGTGGCAAGGGTTTCAGCTGGCACTCTCACCTAGTGACCCACCAGCGTATACACACGGGAGAGAAGCCCTATACGTGTACAGACTGTGGCAAGTGCTTCAGCCGAAGCTCCCACCTCATTCAGCACCAGATCATCCACACGGGGGAGAAGCCTTACACCTGCCCTGTCTGCTGGAAAAGCTTCAGCCATCACTCCACACTGATACAACACCAGCGCATCCACACTGGGGAGAAGCCTTACGTGTGTGACCGGTGTGCCAAGTGCTTCACCCGGCGCTCAGACTTGGTGACCCACCAGGGGACCCACACAGGTGCCAAGCCTCATCGATGCCTGGAATGCAACAAATGCTTCACCCAGAGCTCAGCCCTGGTCACCCACCAGCGGACCCACACGGGCATCAAGCCCTACCCCTGTCCTGAGTGCGGAAAGCACTTCAGCCAGCGCTCCAACCTCACTGCCCACCAGCGCACCCACACAGGGGAGAAGCCCTTCTCTTGTAGTGACTGTGGCAAGAGCTTCAGCCACAGCTCCCACCTCACTGCCCACCAGCAGACTCACCGTGGTGTCCGGCCCTACCCCTGTCCCCTGTGCGGCAAGAGCTTCAGCCGTCGTTCTAACCTTCTTCGACATCAGAAGATTCACATTGGCCCTAAGGCCCGGGCTGTGCTGATGCTGGGGGCAGTGGGGACTCTCACCAGCCCTCACCCTGCTCCCCCGTAAAAGGCCAGGGGATGAATGGTGTGAGGATATGGAATCCAGGGCAAGTGCTGATGAGCCTACCTGCAGGATAGGCCTAATTCAAAGACCAAAGGCAGTGAGAGAGGGAAGACAGATGAAAAAGAGGATGGGGATATGAAGTCAGAAAGGGAGAGGGGTGGGCTGTTGTGGGGATAAGGGTGGGAGTTGACTGGGGTGGAGTTGGGAGTAGGAATGTGAGAGGAGCTACAAAAAGCAAGCACGTCTTCTAATTAAAGGCCTTTGAAACCAGTCTATGACTCCAACCAATGTGGCCCCAAACCCACTGTTAAGCTTGGAAGATAAAAGGATGCATTTTTGGGCTGACATTGTACCGAGGCTGACCTGAAATCATGCCCTCAGCAACCATTCTCTCTGAAAGCATAGGCACTTTCTTCTCCTCCATTCAAACCTGGACTCTTTCCTTTTTAGCCAAAGGCACATCTCAGTAAAGCCTAGTAATGTTATCATGCATCTGTCTTTAAGCAAGACAAGATAGTCCTGCAAAAATAGAGAGATTTGGGATGAGAGATACCAAATACCATAGCTATTCCCCTAAGATACACTCATCAACTGAGAAGAAATCTTCTCTTCCCCCTCCCCCCACTGCCCCAACTCAATGCTGTGCCATCACCTGCCTGGGTGTCTCCTTCCTGCCCCAAACAGCATGGGCATCAACATTTCTGAATCTCTGGACACACCATTCTCTGTGCCTTAATGGCCATCCATCCTGTTTTCCCCACTGACTACAGCAAAATCCAGAGACAAGGAGATAATAGCTCATATTTCTATATGTCTTTAAGGTTTACAAGTTTACTTTTCTCATAACTAGGTAATACAAGCATTATTATCCTTGGTTTTTTTTTGTTGTTGTTTGTTTGTTTTGGCTAGGCAATGGGGTTAAGTGACTTGCAGCTACTAAGTATTATATGTATGAGGCTGGATTTGAACTCAGGTCATCCTGAATGCAGGACCAGTGCTCTATCTACTGTGCCATCTAGCTGCCCCTATCCTTGTTTTACAGATGCAGAAAATTCAGGACTTATTTACCCCCAGTCAAATAGCTAGTACTGCATTCAGGACTCCAAGGGAAATCTTCTGACTATCCTCTGTACTGTCCACTGCACTAGAGTGCCTCATACAGAGATGTAGTCCCCTACCCTTTCTCAGTCTTCTCTTGCTGCTGCTTTTTGCCTCCTTCAATGTGTCTGCCCTCTGGTGTCCAGACAGAGAATTACACTGGAGATGAAATTCCAAGAAAAGTCTGTACCTTGGACAGCAGCGTCTGCTTTACAGAGTCTCGGCCCCAGAAAAGTGGGTCATCCTCAGGATGTTTCTTCTGCTTCCCTTTTTGCTTCCCATTCCCAGTTGGCTTTCCCTGTATCTGAAGAACCTCTCCCTCTCAAATGTGGAAAAAACCCCAATGTTTTTAGTTGGGGGATAATACAGGAAGGAAAAGAGCATGGAACTTGGTGTTCAAACCATGCTTTGACTGCTGGCTCCTTTATTTACTAGCAGCAGGACCTTGGGTAAGACATTTTATATTTTTAAACTTGTGTCCCCACAGGTAAAATGGAGGTAACATTTACAGTATGTGGTACACTGGTATGCTATTAGGAAAGTAATATGTACATGTGTACATCTATGTACATATATGTGTCATGACTAGATATACACACATGTGCATATATACATATATACATGTGCATATACACATACATCTATGTATTGTGTAGCCCTGGAATCTTATCAGTATAGGGAACTCTCAGACAGGAAATTTCCTTTACTAATGCAGATTGACAAGTATTCTGTAATTTACAGTCTTAGAGAATTTCATAAAGCATTGAGAGGTTAAGTACACAGCCAGGGTCACACAGCCACTTGCCATTTCAGAGGTAAAATTTAAACTTAAACCCTGTTCTCATTTATAGTCTTAAAGTGAAATTGAGTTACACTGAGTTATTTGGCAGATTCCTGACCTTTTTTATTTTATATGATCTTAATCAGAGATCACCATGCAAAATGGCTTGAATACATGTTAGAATTTGCCAGAGAGAATGAGAACAGGGAGCCACAAAAATGGAAGAGGAAGTTTAAAAATAATAGCAACAATAGAAATAACTAAGATTTATATAGTGCCGACTATGTGCCAGGCACTGTGCTAATAACTTAGAGGCCATTGGAAAAGAATGGGTCCAGGCTGGGCAGTTCCCACTCTTCTGTGCTGGTGTCACTAAGCTAACTGCCACTATACCTGGAGATAGATTTGTGTGGCCTGAAATACCCCTCATGTCCCTCGAGGTCTTGGCTCAAAGGGTGCAGTACTGATAGTTCTGAGAGGTCAAGGCGTTGCCAGCGATGCAGTTTTGGGCAAGACACACTATCTCTGGACGTCAGCTTCCTTCTCTGTAAATAATGAAGCTGGACTATGTGATCTCTGAGGCCCTTTCCAGTCCAAACATTGTATGAGTATATAATATTTATGTGTATTGTTTTATTGATGTCTTTTGGCATTCATTTCTTAGTATTGCTCCCCTCCCACCAAGTCAACAAGCATTTATCAAGCCCCTGTGAGCCAGGCACTGTGCTAAGTAGCAGCAATGAAAAGAAAGTAAAAAAATAAAAATAAAAAAGTTCCTGATTTCAAGGCGTTCACAGTGTAAGGGGGGAGACAACATGCAAACAACTATGCATAAACAAGACACACACAATATAAATCAGAGATGGTCAACAGAGGGGAGGCACTAGCATTGAGGGGGATGAGAAAGGCTTCCTGTAGAAGGTAGGACTTCAGGGAGAAGAGGGCTCAAGACAAATAGGCTGCCACTTGTTGCAAAGAAAAAAGTTTAAGTAAATCCAAGCAGCAAAGCAAGTGTCTGATTCCAAAGTTTGTCTCTGTGGTGCCCCTGCCTGTCTGTTGAGAAAGGAAGGTGTCCTAACAGCCTATATTCTAAGGTCCCTTACAAATCTGACCTTTTAAGTTTTAATGTCCCTTTCTCTATGGTCTCTTCCAGCTCTAGCTTCACATATAACTCTATGTGTCTATTGGAGTGGTAGCAGCCTTAGAGGGAGGCAATCCTGCTTCAAAACTCCCTGAATGGGAGACTGACCCACTGGCCAGGTGTATAGCTGTCTGCAAGGTGTCACTGCTATCTAGTCTGCATTTTACCAGTGAATCCTTGATTCTCAGAATGGAGCAAATAAAGATGTATTTTACTGATTAATGCAGGATATCTTGTCATCCGGAACACTTCAGTAGGGGAGGGGGAATCATCTTTCTTGAAAAAAATAGGACCACAGGTTTTAATAGAATGTTAAAATTATTGGCTATAGCAAAAATCATTCTCTCTCTATCCTCTTTACCTTGTGAGACAGTTCCTCCACTCCATCTATAGATCACATAAGAGATTCTTACTCTTCTTCTCACCCACACCCCCCCATACCAATCCATTTTTTTTATGTCAGATACATCCCTCTTATTCTATTCCTATCTCCAAGGCAACTAAGTGTGGCAATGGATAGAACCAAGATGACAAGTTCAAATCTGACCACAGACACTTATCAGTTGTATGACTCTGGGTAAGCCACTTAACCTCTGTCTGCCTCAGTTTCCTGAAGTGTAAAATGGGGACAATAATAGCACCTATCTCATAAGGTTATAACGAGGATCAAATGAGATAATATGTGTGAAGGGAGAGCTGGACTAGATGGCGTTTGAAGTCAATGCCAGTGGTGGATCTATGATCCTGTGAACAAGGCAGGCTTTCTTATCCACCATGCTGGGCTCTCTTTCCACAAGGTAATTATGAAGCTCACAGGGGGAAAAATGTGTATAAAGTGCTTTGCAACCCTTAACATGCTGTGTGTATAAGTGTGTGTATGTGTGTGTGTGTGTATACGTTTTGTCCTTCATTCTTGAAGATGACCATGACATGAGAAAGATGATGCCATGACTTGCAAGTGAACTGATTTTAAGTGAGGGAAGGCTCTGCAAAGTCACCAGCCTCACTCTCCTCTGGAGACATCTGGGTCCAGTGGCAATATAAACATCAGGATGGCCAGAGATGGCCCAGGAACATGTTATGTAAGTTCTAACTATAATAAGAATCATTATAATCATCTCACTCTGGCCAGTTTCCTCACTGTGGATCTGAATCTCTTCTTCCCTTGGGATTTCTAATTTCTCTTTTTTAAGGTTTGTAAATACTTTCATACAACCCCATGAGGCTTGAAAATGCCAGTATTTTTCATCACTACTTAACAGATGATGAAGCACACTCAGAATGGTGAGGTCACTTACCCAAGAGAATACAAATCTTGAGTGTCAGAGGTTGTATTTGAACCCAGGTTTTCCTGTTGCTAAGTACAGCGATCTATGCAAGATTATGTTCACCTTCTTCTTCCTCCTCTCCTTCCCATTTAACATCATCATTGAGAAGACCACGTTCTCCTGCTCTCTTGTGCCACATAAGCTTTCCATTATACCCACAAAGCCATAGGACAGTCAGAAGAAGCCCTTGCACACAGAAATGATCCCACAAGTCAGAAGAAAGGGGACAATAACGAATTGTCTTTCAGAAAGTAATGACCACTTTGTTAAAGAAACAACAGCGATGATGATGATTTTGATGATGCTCACATTCAGCCCTTCAAAGGTTTTGCAAGGCCTTTGCCAACCTTCATCTCATTCGAGCCTCCCAGACAAAGCTGTGAAGCAGGCATTGCTGTCATTTGCACCATCCCCTCATGATATCAGTGTGGCTCACAGTCTAAGTGATCTGCTAACAGTCTCAAAGTTAGCCAAATATCAGAGATAAAATTTGAACCTATGCCAATCCTGTTCATGCACTAGACTCTATCTTCTACATCAGCATGGCCTTGAGAGCCAAATCCAGCCTGCCTGACATCTGATTTTGTACAATCCATAAGCTAATAGTGGTTTCGTTTGTCTACATTTTAATGTACAATAATTCCCTTATAAAACATGGGAGCACATTTGCCCTGAAAGTCTTCACCATTCATGGAAGAGGCCTGAAGTGAAACATTCTCTTCCCAACAGGAGGGGCTATATTACCTTTCCAGAATATGATAGGGTCTTGAGGAAAGTTCATGGGATTTCTAATTTCTAATATTTCTAATAATAAGAAATAGAGGGGCAGCTAGGTGGCACAGTGGATAGAGCAATGGCCCTGAAGTCAGGAAGACCTGAGTTCAAATCCAGCCTCAGACCAAACACTTGACACTTACTAACTGTGTGACCCTGGGCAAGTCACTTAACCCCAATTGCCTAAAAACAAAACAAAACAAAAAAATGCATTAATATTCCAATTTTCCCACATCTTCTCCAACATTTATCATTTTCAGAAAAACCTGGAAAGACCTCTACGGTCTGATGCTGAGTGAAGTGAGCAGAACCAAGAGGACTTTGTACACAATAACAGCCATGTTATGCAATGAC